TCAAAACTAGACATCATAATTTTGATAATTTTGTTTGTATGACTTAAAATCTAAGTGATATAATATTGTAATGTCCGTGGTATCATAAGTGCGTTGAAGAAAAGTGCCCTAGTCCTTGTTAGTGTAACTATAATGTTGTGGAACAGTGGAAGTTATAAAGAGAAGGTTTAGGCTTCATTTGGGACGGTTTTTTTATTGCTTTCTAAAATAGAGTTTTAGTTTAAAAGTAAAAAAAAATTATACTAAAACTCCGTATTAGAAAGCAATAAAAAAGCCGTCCCATACGAAGGCTTAATAGACATAAAAAATGATAAAAAAATGTATATAAAGTAAAATAAATTAATAATCACTAGAAAACACTCCCTCAGCATTTCCCTTTCATCATGTGGAATGTCCCTCCAAGGCATCAATGACTCTATCCATGATTACTTTGCTGATTGATAGTATTGATACGATGATTGCTTTATTGATTCGACACTGGTACTAGTTTATTGATTTTCACATTATATTTTTTTACTTGCTTCCATATCATACTATTACTATTATATGTGAGTTTTATTGTTTATATACGGCTGATTCTTACTCATATGATTGTTATTGTTATGGATTGATTGATGACATGCATATTGCTTCTTTATCATGATTTGAATTTGGCTATATGATTTTAGTGACTTATTGGGATATTTAGCTCATTATATGTAATTTCAATAATTTCATGTCATAGCAGAGGATCAGGAGTGTGAGATTGATCATGATTTTTTATGTTTACTATTATTTTATTTATTTCTATTTTGTTGTTATTCTTTTGTACTCGAGATTGAAAAGATATGATGTAATTATAATTCATGTGTATTGTGTCAATGAATATATATGCATATGAATGTTTTGATCAATAGAATTTGTTTCCATTGATATATGATTTTATTGCTAATAAAAGAGAAATAGATAGCTATTGTGTTCTTGTATTAAAAGATAAAAAATTTTCTTTCATATTTAATTTTGGGAAATTACAATTCATTAGCCTTGGTGATAATAACAATAATGTGATGGTATTGGTGATGATAATAGACATTAGCCTTTGATTGGTTATGATAGGCATCACTATAAGTATCAATGTTGGGCATGCTCCTTATTACTGACAATTGGTGTCGACTTTAATGGCAATGACATGTATCAAACTTAGTGGTGAGGAAGTGTGTAGGCCATAGTGGCAATGAGGTGCACTAAGCTTGGTGGTGATAGTGGGCATATGTGTTTATGACGATGGTTATCATCAGTTTTTGTTAGAGACAATGAGGATTGGTGTCAGTGTCATTGGATTATAAATAAGACACTATCGATGATCTATTAATTTCCCTTAATTATTTAATATATTTTAAACATTTTAAAACTTATTGATATCAAAATTAATCAATCTTAGGCTTATCAGTTTTTTCTCATCAAATTACTTATTTTGACTATAAACATGTATAACTCATAGGACATTTTACACCTCAAATAATCTTGAGAAGTGTCCAATTATGCCTCTAAGTTTTCAATCAAAAGCTTGCATGTTGGTTTGCATAAAAAAATCAGTTCTTCTCTTGGAAGCTCAAAGGTAGTTGAACGTTCGATAAATTCTTCTTAGAATATGACAAAATATTTATGTAATCCTTAATGAATTATTAAGGGTTGAATCGATCATATATGTTAACTTTGACTTTGGATAAGTTGACAAGGAGATATAACATTGTCTGATTATCTTGAACTAAAATTTCAACTCAAATGATATTTTTTATTCTTTATTTTATATTCTTATGTTACAAATAATATTCTTCTTTAAGTTCAAGATGAAAAATAAATATAAAAGACTAATAAAACACATTAAGTGGGAGAAAAATAATGATCACTATATGTCATGGGTCTGATGATTTGTCCAAGTCAAGCTTATCCTACATCAATAGACTTTGGTGGTGATGACTTGAGTTGGCTCTGCAGATGTGATAATGACCCTGGTGGTGATGATGGTATTGGTGGAGATGATATGTATGCATCTTAGTTGGTTATTTCATTCATTGGAATTGGTGTTGATGAAGTCCCCTATCATATTGCGAACAACATGCATTGATCTTAGCGGGCACAATATGTGTCAACCTTGGTGGCAAAGGCATGTGCTTGCCTTAGAGTCAATGGCATGCATCAGCCTTTGTGATGATGATATAGGGTATTTGCATTAATGGTGATAGTGGATGTCAGCATCATATTAGAAATCGAACACTTAATCAAATAGTTATTATTAATTTCACTTAGGGGTTGTTTGGTTTGTTGAAGAAGGAATGAAAAGTATTCCTTTTTTCATGGAAAATTAAAATTTATATTTTTTGTTTGCTAAAAAAAGAATGCAGTGTACAAATTCTGAGTTTCTTTCTGATTTCTTAGTTTATTTTTAATTTATTTTAAAATCTCCTAGTTTTTAATGAATTCATTTTTTTCAATTTTCACCACAAGCCAATTGCCTTATCGCCGCTCACTAGTGACTAGTTTCCATTGTTATCGGTCTTCGCCGACCATCGATTACCACCACCACCGAACACTGCTAGCAACCGGGTGTCGTCGCCACCATTATTTTACTTTAGATGTCATTCATTTTACTTTAAATCAAATAAAAAAATATCATGCATTATCTTCACACTCTTCCAAATAAACTCAAATGTTTCAAATACACTATATTTTTTACTATTTTTGTGTCTAAGCAAGCAACCTTAGCCCTTAAGAAACTCAAAATTAGCAATTTTAGGCGGGCCTTGCAAAAACGTGTTTTTTTAATGAAGAAATAAATTTGATGCAAATGAATTCAAATATCAAAATGAGCCATATCATTATTAAACACGCAAACGCATACGACGAAGCCGCCTTCAACTTCTTTCGACAAGTTTTCAACTTTCAACTCTTCTTCCCTTCTTGCCTTCCCCTCTTCCACCCTTCTTCCCTCCCAGCACCTACATTACACGCCTTCCCCCTGCCCCACCTCTTCAGATCCCTAATTTATAACCCAATTCTCGCTTCCAAACCTTAAAAATCCCTCCTTTTCTTCTCCATGGAACTCTTCGAGCGCGCCAAGGCCGTCCGCCTGCGCAGCCATAACGACAAGTACCTCCTCGCCGAAGACGACGAGGAGCGCGTTTGCCAACACCGTAACGGCACAACGCGGAAGGCGCGATGGCAAGTAGAACTTGTTGATGCAGGTGATCAGCCCCTTATTCGCCTGAAGAGCTGCTATGGCAAGTACCTCTCTGCTTCCAACGAGCCCTTGCTCCTCGGCGTCACCGGCCGCAAGGTTCTTCAAGCGGCTCCTGGTCGCCGCCTTGATTCTTCCCTTGAGTGGGAGCCTATTCGAGACGGATTTCAGGTTAAGCTTAAAACAAGGTATGGTCAGTTTCTCCGGGCAAATGGTGGCCCGCCGCCTTGGAGAAATACTGTGACGCATGATATTCCGCATCTTCATCATGATTGGGTGCTATGGGAGGTTGATATTGTTGAGGCCCGGGCTTATACGCCGGTGGCGTTTGCGGAGTATTCACCTATAGAGGAGGTAGAATCTTCGCCGGCGACGGAGTCCGTGGAGTCTTCACCTAGTTTTTTGAAAAAAGAGGTTGTGTGTTAGCTTAGGTTTTATGATTTGTTGAAATTTTGTTTGCTTATTTGCTTCTTCATTGATGAAATTTATTGCTTGTGAAAACAAAATTTTATAATTTTAAGTTTTTGTTTGGATTTTGGAAATTTGAGTAAAAGGAAATGAAAAAGGAATTCAAATCAATGGCTGTTGACTCATAATCAACTCTTAAATTACTCTAAAATGCTTCTTTTTTCTTCTTCTTCTTCTTCTTCTTCTGCATAAAAGTAGCTGCTGAACTAAAAATTTAATGGAATTTACCACAGATTTCAACTAAAGAAAGTGCGCTGCATGAAGTTAGTTGTCTTGATTGTGTATGTAGAAGAGTATTTAAATATCATTAGAAATCAACTTGAAATATGTTCTACTACTGACTTTCTAATCGTTCTTATAATGTTCATAACTCAACATTTTAACATTGCGACATCATAAACTTTTGAAAAAGCTACTTTTAGAACTTAGATTCAAAATTGCTACTTAGAACTTGACACCTGGTCCCTGGCCAGTGTTTAACAAATCAAACAAAACAAAAAGAAAAAGCTACATAAAAGAGCTTTTGGTATCAGTTTCTCACCTTTTTTTACTGAAAAATAAATGCTTTATTATATGAAAAAGAGAAGCCCATCAAGTCAGCCCTGAATCTTCTTTTTTCTGTTAGTCATTTTTTTTCTTTTTTGGGTGATTGCAGTCTTTCTCGTCCTCGGCCAGTAACTCTCCACAGAAATCATTGTCGTCTGCATCTAGTGGTTCTCCTCGGGCATTTCATAACAGGACTATTAACTATATGGTAGCAAATAATGATGGCTATGTTGAAGCTGGAGCTGAGGAGTTCTCCTTTAGCTTTCAGGGGACTAGTGTGGAAGAACTGACGCAGAAGCTGGAGGAAGAAAGTGAACTCGGTCATATTATAGTTTGCTCAAAGAACCCGGTGAATGGGAAGCTCTATCCCCTTCGTCTGCAACTTCCTCCCAACAAAAACACCATGAATGTTGTCGTGGTTTTGGCCTCTTCTAAAGGTTAGCATCTTCTTTTCAATTCTCTTGTTTTTCAACTGTTCTATTCTGCTGTAAATTTGCATGAAAATCTTGGTTTTTTTTGTAGTTCTCCATTGTTAACTGCTTGAAATTTATGTGTCCATTGTCTGTAAATATTGGTTCCCTATTTTACCACTCCATCTTATCTATGGAAAAGTGAAAATGATCTGCTTATAGTATTGCACAAGTTTACTTCCCTCCCTCACTCCTTCCTTCCTTCTTCTTGTTACCTCAAAACAACCAAAAGAAACTAGCATAGAGTCATCCTTTTCCTCTCTTTTCATTTCCAGCATAATTAAACATATTGTGTAGCGGTGTTATTGTTAGGGAATGATGAACCAAATACAAGGAGAAATAGAAAATTATCCTTATTACCGGGCAGATCGAACCCCGCCTAGGGGCGCTGCCCCTTTGGACCCCGTCATATCTGCGAAGCATACGACGATCAAGGATATGAAAAATAAGGTCGAACCAAATTCAAGGCAACTCAACATATATTTTGTAGAAATTGAATGCTTAATCAATTACATCATTTTGATTTTTTTGCAAACAAATCATCGATACTTCAACCTAGTTATTATATAAAATATTGATGATATTTTCAAAATGTATTATGTACTCAAGTACAAAGAATCATTAGTCACTAAAATGACATATATATATATACGAAGAAAAAATTATCTACACTTTTATTTATAAGTTTACTCCCTCTGAAAATTAAGGCTGATTCCGCCCTGATTACTAGTTTACTTCTTAATTTCATGCATGTCTAACCAGTTTCCTATCCTTTTCTACAGCGGCAAAGATTTTGGCGAAGCAAGAGAATCTCCTATAGAAGTTTCCTTTCAATGTCACCTCCATTGTTCCATCTGTACATCCCATGCCATAGTTCCAGTTCAAATACAGAGGATTTCTTCATCATTCTTCCAAATTATACGCAGTTTCGAAGCAACATAAAGATCAGCATACAACTCAACGAATCGTTTCGGCCCATAATTTTGTTAGTTTAGATGTTTTAGAAATTATTTCAGAACATAATGCAGATGCAGCTCTGTACTCATCAGAAGTATATGGTTATACTGCAATGGTAGTGGCAAATTGTTCCTGTAATCTATGTGTTGAGATTATTTTATTTAAATTGTTAGTGGGATTTTGCAATTATTTACTGTGTTGTTTATTTTGTAAATTTGTAATTGTTTTGATTGAAGAGAAATAATCAAAGAGAATATATGGACTAAAGAATCCTGGTTGCTTAAGACTTTCCTTTGTCACATCATAATACATCTCTCTATCTCTATGTTAGAGGTGCCAAATTTGGGTTTCGGATTGGGTTCGAGTCAAATCCGGAACTGACTCGGGTTCAAACGGTTTGATCCTAATCCGACCTGGGTTTGTAAAGGGTCGAAAGTTCATACATGGATCTGACCTGTCGAGAGTTATTGAATTGACCTGACCCGACACAGTAACCCGGATTTCATTTATAGGGAGAGCTAGTGTCGGGTCGGGTCGTTTCCAGGTCATTCTTAAATTTTCGGGTCAACCCAAACCCGAATTGATTTTGGAATGAGTCAATTTGTTGAACTCGAACCCGACCAATTTGACAAACGGGTTGATCTTAACCCATAATTTTTGGATCGGATCAAATATTGACGCCCCTACTCTAAGTATAGATTTTGTATTTTCTACATATAAATGCTTAAAAAAAAAAAGAGTAAAGATATTCAGATGCAATTTGCATCAATTGTACTTAAAAATTTTTATGTTTATGCTGAATTTAATGATATTATATGTAGCTATTTTTGGAACAAATTTAATAATTTTTAAGATCATTTTATTATAAATTATATCAGAATATTTTTACGTAATTTTTTTATTAAATTTTGTGTACTTATATATAAGAAATGAATTAAAATAAAAAGATTTATTTTGCATTTAAGAATTATATTTTACTTGTCTGCAAAACAAAATGTGAACAAATTCAATCAAACAAAATGAGAAAGAAACACAGTATGAGAACAGATACAATGTTTTCGTGCATTGCTAGCTGTTAACTGTTCACTTGACTTTAAGTGGTAACAATTAGGTTTGGATCTGTTACTCACGCGGGTTTGCAAAGGACAAAAACGAGTTTTTTTTTTAAAAACGAGATTTTTTTTTTTTTTTTTTGTTTTGTACATTTAGGCTAATTATGATAAACACATCACGTATCACATACACAAAACCTAAGAATTCTTAGTTTGTAGCCTAAGCTCTCAGTCAGCCAACACATCAAGATGGAATTTTTATTGGGTTCGGTGTCTTGACGTAGCTCTACGTTCAGACGCCAGTAAAATGGTGCCACGTAGCGGCCACATTATCACGAACCTAACCTGCCGAAAAGTGGATATATAGCATGTGCATTCTTTGAAAGATGACGACCCGACTACCCAACCCTGAAAAAAGATAGGTATCGCTAGGTACATATTCGTTACCGCTAGGTATCGCTAGGTACATGCTCAGTACCACTCAGGTACATGCTCGGTACCGCTCAGTACATGCTCGATACTGCTAGGTATCGCTAGATACATGCTCGGTACCGCTTAATATATGCTCGGTACCGCTCAGTACATACTTGGTACCGCTAGGTATCACTAGGTACTGAGCATATACTGAACGGTACCGAACATGTACAGTACCGAGCAACATGAGTTCTTTAAACCCTAAATCTTGTATAATGTCTATAGAATAATCCGCCAACAGGTTGTAAGACCTTTAAAGAAGAGGGGGTTTTAACTTTTCACGCCCAATCATATATACGACATCGAGCCGACCCCAAATAATTAAAACACGTGCAAAATCTACAAAATACAACTGGTTTGGGTTGGGTTCATCGGGTCGCTACGTGGCGCCATTTTACTGGCGTCCGAACGTAGAGCTACGTCATGACACCTAAACAAATAAAAATTTGTCAAGATGAGTTGTGTGTGTGTGTTTTTTTTTTTTAATTTATTTATTGGAAAGGGGCTATAACACTGCAATGCACATATTTTGAATGTACAAAACAACCCAAAAATAGGAAAAATTATTCTGTGCTGACATCGGATGCTGTCCGAAGGTGAATCAGAGCACGCCATGTAAACCCTTTGTTGTGAACCGCGGCTGTGTACCCATTATGTTCCAGGTGATGTGCCCGCATTTTGATTGGCCTCCGAACGGTTCTATGTCCGCATAAACTAATTTCTTAAACAATAGATATATCATTTATTGTTGAATTGTAATATCTTCTTAATGATAACATTTTATCACGTAGCTCATCTTGATCTATTAATTGAAAACTTTTGTTATCAACTAAAAGATTTTGAATTCGAGTCTTACAGATATAATGCGTGTATGAATTTGTCTTAATCGACTTAAATATCTTTAAAAAAAACACTGCATTTGTAAGTAGTAATTATGATGAATAATTAGTATTATAAGAGCTAAAACTGCCGTGCTATGAAATATTGGAACCATCCAGAACTTTGGATTCATTGAAAGATGTGGCATGCAAGATATGATAGAACAAAAGCTTAAATGTTCTTTATACAAGTCATTCAAAAAGAAATCATTAAAATTTTTTATTTTCTTATAAAAAATAAAATTAACATTTTAAATGAACTAAAAGCACTTTTTATGTGCTTGTAAAATTTATGCGCAAATTAAAATTTCGTTTGAGACGGATTCTTATTGCTTCTTAAAACAACTTTTTAATAAAAAAAATTTAATTTTTATACTAAAATTTTATTTTAAGAAACAGTAAGAAAGCGGATCCACACGAAGCCTAAATCAAATAATTAAATCTAGTAAAATCAACATGTTTTAAAATAAGTTTTCTTATTTTAATCAACCAACTGATCCCATTTTCTTTCAATTTCACACCAACCAAACAAATATTGAAAGGTGTGCTCCTCCCACAAACACTAGATATTTGAAGGAAACTTCAAAATAATCCCTAAAATATATGACAAATTTAATCCTAGTAATCAAAATTTAACCTCTCGACAATACAAAATTGATAAAAAATGATCCCTTTGAGATTAAATGAGGATCAATTTACATAATCAAAGAACTAAATACATATCAATTTTATATCACAATTACAACATAGGAGACCATTTGCAGTCAATTTTATATAGTCGAGAGACTTATTTAGAGCAACATCGCACCGATGCTAAATTGACCGCATATGAATACTCTATCAACTATTTTAAGATATTTCTACAACATATATATATCTATATCAACCACAATTTTTTGCTTTTTTTTTTTTTTTTTTTTCTAATTTTCCAACCTTAATGAGAAATTTATAAAGCGCACATTATATTAATAAAATGTGTTGTTTGATAATAAATATACAACACTTTGGGTATAGCTGTGGTTTCTGAATCTTAAAAGAATAACAAAATACTGCTCCTTATGAACTGTTGTAAGGAAGAAGCTACTCAAAATTCAAGGCATTAAAGACTCAAACAATATGGATGAAAAAGGGAAGATTTGTAGATAATGAACGCAGCAGCTAAATACCATCAGAACCTGATTACCTCTTCTTAGCAAACTTAGGATTTTTGGACATGCGTATACTTTGAGGAGTAACTTCGACCAGCTCATCTTCTTGAATGTATTCGATACAGTCATCCAAACTATAAAATAATGGTGAATCGAGAACCACTGCATTATAAAACAAATAACGAATGGGTTAGAGGTTAGATAAATCAGAATCTCAGAGATTTTGTGTACCAGTTAATCAAAATCCAATGGCGAAAAGAGTTGGTTGAGTTTTTGGGCGGGGTCCAACCCAAAATTTACGGCATCCAAACGGATTGATCCTAACCCAACTCGGTTTTGCAAACGGTCAAGAATTCCGACCCGCTAACTCAGATCTGATAGACAAGAGATGCGGGCGAGAACCACGAGCTTGCAGGAGAAAGCGCACAGGTGCTGAGTGCCGGCGCGAGTGCGGCAAGACCCGAACCCAACCCAGTTTTAAAAACAAGTCACGATATTGAATCCAAACCTGACCCATTTGCCAAATGAGAACTCAGAATTTTTCATGCCGGATCCGGGTTGGATCGGGTCGGGTCAATTATTGCAGCTTAGTGGTATATTAATCATCATTGATTAGAAATGTAAAGGATAATGTTACCCTCCCAAGTCTACATCATTAAGATTTTTGGGATGGATATATCAGTCTACTGAAACAATTTCTGTTTTTCAAACAAAATCTTGCAACCATAAATAAGCTCAAACGAGCCTCAAAGCCAGAAGAAATTCCGTAAATCCTAAGAAAGATAACAGATAATAGATTGCATTCTTAGGCTCAAAAAAAATTTAAGGGAAAAAGATGAGGAATTGAAGCTTGTTAAATAAAAGGTGTGAACCATTTAGGCAAGAAAAAAAAAACGCTTCACTCGCTAAAGAAACTTTCCTGAAGTAATAACACCTATGTTGAAAGACAGCTCATAGGTCCCGTGAAAAAGCTGTGACGTTAAAGATAACACACTAACACCCCAAGTTGCGGGATAACTCGAAAGTCCAGTGAAAAAGGTACTAACAATTAAAGAAAACACTAACACCCATCTTGCGTGAAAAAAGGCTAAACTCCGATGAGATGGCACTTTTGTAATGAATGCATGTGTTTCAATTGATACAGTACAGTAATTTAGATGTTATTTATGTTTATTTCTTCCACATGTTTGAATATTCTTTCATCAACTCTTTTACATATTTTTTCAAAATTTGCAGAAATGGAAAACGATGTGCAGGATCTAGAAATTTAAATTAATAGCCATATTCCAAAAGTAGAGAATAGGCTGCATTAACTAAGCTAGGTTTGGTGCTCTGTCCATCACCGCTGAAACTAATATAAAAAATAAGCAAGTTCTTAGAGTGATCACAGAGAAAGAAATAACTGAAGGAAGCCGGTGCAAAAATAATAGGGCTAGGTTTGATATAGCTGCATAAAACTATTCAAGATTACTACCTTTACTCTCCAAAATGGGCAAGATTCTAATCCATTGCAAACACCGCTTGGCTTGCCTACAATTCTGGACTGTTGCTAGACATACCAAACAATTCTAGTGTATAATCTACTTTATGTTGCAGACTCTTCCAAAGCAATGTGAAGAATGGAAAATATTAATCAACCCCATTGAAGACAGCGAATATATTAGAAAATTAATTTTTAAGAAAACGCAACGCATTGCCAGGGTGATTTTGGGATCAAGAAATTGAAAATCTGCTTGCGATGACTGTATAGATTTTTACCTGTCTGTTCCTTGTTGGATCTTACATTTGTTGCAGCTTTCTTCTTGCAAACATTAAGGGATAAATCACCAGGTCGTTGATGGATGCCAACAATTTGACCTTTGTAAACTTCCATTCCAGGGCTGACAAACATCTGACCTCTTTCCTGAGCACTGCATAAGGCATAAGAAGTAGTAGTTCCATCCTCAAATGCAACCTGTATAGTAGTTCTTACTTGCTCAAAAAAACAATCAACATGATACATACAAGGTTTTGACTCATAAAAATGAACAAAAATAACGACTAGCTCTCTTACCAAGGACCCTTGGTCCCTTGTGCTAATATCCCCAGCCCATGGTCCATAGCTATCAAAAACTGTGTTCAGAATTGCAGTACCCCGTGAAGCCGTTAGGATTGCATTTCGCAACCCAAGAAGACCACGTGTCGGGATCTTATACTTTAACAATGATGTTCCCTCCAAACTACATGGAAAAGAAACATAAATGAGCTCATTCAAGTTGGCTCCTCGAGTTGTGCGTAAGTTTAAAAATGTGTAGGAATGACTTTGAAGGATGGCATCTACTATGCTGTCTTTGCAAAAAAAAAATTGCAATGACAATTTCATGCATGTGTTAGAATTTTAAAAAGATCAAGTGCATGTAAGAAAAGACGAGTACAAACCCAAGTCCCTGCATATCAAACATCTGCCCTCTCCTTTTTCCAAGAAGCTCAACAACAGGCCCCATGTGTTCCTCAGGCACCTCAACAGTAGCGATCTGGAAATAAATCAATCGAATAAAATATTTGCTGCTTGACCGCAGAACTGATTTTCAATTGCATAAATAATGGTACAGAAACTATCAGTAATAATGATTAAAAGGATAAGAAATTCAACAAATAATAGGAACAAGGGTATTGCAAATCACCTCAAAAGGCTCCAGCAATTTATCATCTACCCTTTTGTTTATAACCTTTGGTGGCCCAACCATAAATTCATAACCTTCTCTTCGCCTGGAATGATACAGCTGAAACTTAGCACGTTATAAAGACAAAAAAAAGGTTCTTTTTACAATAACAAATTCACTTCATACATGCTCTCTATCAAGATTGTAATGTGCAATGTTCCCCTGCCACTAATAATAAATGTGTCAGCTGTTTCACCATCTTCAACTCTCATCGCCAAATTTTTCTCAAGCTCACGATAAAGTCTATCCCGAAGATTTCGACTTGTCACATATTTTCCCTGATAATTCATGAAATGCACATAAATAACACAAATGTGAACACGGAGCATCATCCATCATGAAGTTAAAAGTGTAAGGCATATATCTAATATCCTCAAAAATCATGCTTAAAGAGAATAGCAATAGGTACAAGACAATCCTGAGAGAGAATGAAAGAGAGGTTTCTAAAAACAGCGCTTGACCAAGAAGGTTATACTACAGCTAGTTGATTAGAGCTAGTGATATGATACGCCTTGCCTTGGTATAAAAAAAACTGCCAACGAACCAATAAAAATTCAGCAAACAATAGGTTTTTATTGTTAAACAAGAAAATATGCAAAAGAAGGATACAATGGCCCCCTTACGAGAGGAGGGTCATTGCTCCCAAACCTTAGACGCTGCTAGGATCCTGATACGATTGGACCACTTATGAAAGAGAGGTCTAGAAAAGAGAGGTCTAGGAGGGACCGGTCCAGCCGGCCCAACCTATGGGCCGGCTCCTGCAGTACAAAAGGCACAAGCCTTCTGGTTCGCAGTCTGTTAAGCCGCCACCCTTAGGGGTGGGGTCCACTATCTAGAGCCTTTTGCCTAAGGGTTGTTTAGTCCTTTGGTGTTAATTTTGTGTTTGCTTTAAGTAGGAGTTTGTATTGGGGTTAGGGCATCTTTTTTGTGGCTAATTTCTAAGTGCTCTTTGATGTTCTTGGGCTCTAGCAGCGTCTAGAGAGTTTTAGAGAGAATGATCGGCCTCTTGAATAGAAGATCGTCTGTATCTTGCTATTTTCTTTCATATTCTAGCAATCAAGAATGTTTTCTTGCATTTTCATCGATAAAAACCTAAAAATCTGTGTGATTAAACTGTTGAAATTCTGATTTCAGCAATTAATTCATGTTTTCTCCTATTTTTTCCTTTCAAATTAGTATCAGAATAGTTTTTGGGACTGTTTTTTTTGCTGTTTTTGAAATCCAGCGGCTGATTTTTATCCGAAGGACTGTTTTGCTGTTTCTGCGGTCAAAATCCAAATTTTTGAGTTCAACAAAAATCAAATCAAATGGCAGCATCAGAGGTAAGAGATCCAGTAGGGAGAAATACAAATTTAGAAATTCGTAAGAGTGAATACGATGAAGATATCATAGAGAGAGGCGGAATATATGAAGATAAGGATGGCTATGGGGGGGGGGGGGCGGGTTGGGAGGGAAAAGGGGGGGGTTATGGGGGGGGGGGGGGCTGATTGGGAAGGAAAAGAGAGGGATTATGGTAGGAGGGATGCTGATTTTGAAAGGAGGGAAGAAAGTGAAGATGGGTATTGGTATGAGGGTGGAAATTATAGAGGAATCAAGGGAAATGGGGGAATCCGAAGGTCCGGAAGCTGCAGATGTTCATTTTTGAAAGGGATGATGCACATGGGTGGATCTACAAGGTAGAGAGGTATTTCGCCATCAATGGGTTGATGGAGAATGAGAAACTGATGGCAGCTGGCTTACGTTTGGAAGGGAAGTCGTTCGCTTGGTACCAGTGGAGGGACATGAGGAGGCCCATACAGAGTTTGAGGGATTTCAAGGAATGCTTATTGGAACATTCCCAAAATCAGCTGACACAGCCGATTTTAGGCCGTCTGATCGCGTTGAAGGCGCGATCGGACGACTCTGGTTGAACCAGAGTCAAAATTAGTTCAAAAATTCAAACGCCCAAATCTTTCAAAATACTCAACAAAATCTAACAAAATTTGAAACACAGCTAGAAGGCAATGTAATCTTCCAACACCTGAAGTTTGGAGGTTTCATGTATTGTAGATTTGCTACAATTTCAAATTAAAGTTTTAGAGAAAAATTGAGATATCTTACAATCTTGTAGATGGATTTTGATGATCTTGGGATTGTTATAAAGCTGCTAAAATCCTCTACAACTTTGATGAATGGTCCAAGAACTTTTGACTGCTGGATTGAAAATTGCTATAGGAATATCCTTTCTCTCTCTTTCTCTCTCTCTCTTCTCAAATTAGGCTCTCAAGTTTTGCAACCACCTTTCTACCGGCTGGAGGGGCCTTATTTATAGATGGAGAAACTCTCTTGTTCTTACTTAAGAGCTAAGATATGCTGGAATTACAAAATTTGGAAGGTAGTTGATAAAAATACAAAGTATTGAGTTAAGCATAGTATATCCACTCCTTCTAATGATTGTCCCCCTTAATTAAGATAGATGGAAGGCTATCAAATCCTCATCAAGCATGCTCAAAGGGGATGGAGAGGGCAAGTGGTGAGTATAGCCCATACTCATCCATGATGAGAGAGGTAATTTGATCTTTTAATGGCCTTTTTTCTAGTTTAACTAGTCAACTTGTCAAACAAAATGACATATCATGTAAAGTGGCATAAGGTTGGTCTTGAGCTGACTTGGAAGGAATATCAAGCTATGGGATTAGAATTTGAGTAAGCATATGAAATTTTGAGGAGATTTGACCAAGTCAAAGTAAATTAAGTTGGTTAAATTAACCATAGTTTAACTCCACATAAATTTTGAAACACTCAAAGCATCATTAAAAATACTCAAAGCATCAAATGGAGTAGGTTTGAGGGTTTTGATAGCATTGATTTGATCAAATGGTTCATATTAACCCATTTAAACCCTTAAAGGGTTAATGGGCGAAACTAAGTTGACTTGGTCAACTAGGTTGACCCAGGACCTAGGTTTGAATCAAACATGTTTGAAATGGCAAATGAGATCTAGTAGAGGTGGTTTCAGAAATTAGATTGATCATTTGGGTTAAAATCACCCATTTGGGCCTTTAATGGGTCATTGAGTCAAAATAACTGTTTTGACCCTTAAGGGGCCTTTAGGCCAAACTTGGTTGATCTAGGCAACCAAGTTGACCCAGGATTTGAAATTAGGTCTATTAGATCCCAAAAAGTGTTTAAAAATGATCGGAGGAGGTTTCAATGGTTGATTAGGTCAAGTCAGATTGAATTTTGGTCAAAAGCTCAAAAATTCTCTTAAAGGGCATTTTGGTCATTTTAGCCTCAAGTCTATTCTGGGTCAAAGTGAATCCAAAAAAATGTAGATCAATACTTAGCAAGTCAATATCAAAGGCTTGGAAGGGATCAAAAGGTTTGGAGGGGACTTCAATGTCAAATTCCACTGAGTGATAGGTCCAGTGGCACGGGTGGTAAATATATGAAGGTTTTACAGCTTTTGGAACTGAGTTTAGTTTCTGGGGTTAGAGATATCAGATTGAGCTCAAACTTGGAGGGATGACCCCAGGACATGTCCTATCATTATGCAATTGATAGATTCCGAATAAGGGATCAGTTGACTGGGTTTTGAAATATTTGAACAAGTACTGAAAAAGGCATTCAGGATAGGGCCTTTGAACCTTGGATTTGGTTTGAATTTCTAGATATGAACTGGACTTTGGGTTTCAAAGTTTAAGTTTGAATTATCCTGATAATTTGTAATCAATTAAATGATTACTAATGATTGGATAGATCCTAAACTAGGTTTGATATTAATTTGAAGGCTGAATCAAGGCTTGAGCTGGATTGGGTTAAAGTTTTACTGGGTTTAAAAAGGTTAAAGTAACCTCATACAAAAACGAGATCAACAGTGGACTATAGGGCTGTAAATAAGGAAATTGTGTCAAACAAATTTCTTATCACAGCGATAGATGAGCTATTGGATGAGCTAAGTGGGGTAGTTATTTTACCAAGATAAATCTGAAGTTAGGGCACCATCAGATCATAATGAAAAGGGAGGGTGTGCCTAAGACTACTTTCAGAACTCATGAGGGACATTATGAATTCCTAGTGATGCCTTGTTGTCCACTAATGCCCCAGTCACTTTACAGTCCCTCATGAATAAGGTTTTCCAATCCTATCTCAGGTTATTTGTGCTAGTGTTTTTTATGATATTCTGGATTACAGTAGGTTAGAGGAGCATTGGAAACACTTGAGGAAGGTTTTAGGGGTGTTACAAGAGCATTAGCTGAAGACCAATATGAAGAAATGTTGCTTTGCCCAGGCCAGTGTGAAGTACTTGGGACATGTAGTCTCTCAGAAGGGTGCAGTTGCAGATCAAGCCAAAATTGAGGCTATGTTAAGATGGCCACTGCCCAAGAATCTCAGGGTGCTGAGGGTATTTATAGGGTTGACTGGCTACTACAGGAGGTTCGTGAAGGGCTATAGCACCATCACATGGCCACTGACATAACAGCTAAAGAAGAATGTGTTCTTGTGGGGGGAGGCAACTGTTAGATCGGTCCAGCCGGTCCATGCAAAACCTTCACCTCTTTTCGTGGCCGACTGCACCGCAAGAGCCAAATGGTCGATTTAGGAAGGATTTTTGAGGGTTTTGGGAGGGAAATTTGAATGTAGGGACTGTTTAGAGATTTCCTTTTGATTTGTATGCATTAAATAGTTTGTTTTCCTAGGGTTAGGGCATCTTGAATTTGGCTGAAATTTGAGATCTCTTAGATTTAGGTTTTCTTTGGGCTCTAGCGGCGTCTAGAGATTTGGGAGAGATTGATCCTCCTCTCGAATTGAGAATCAATTGTATCTTGTTATTTTCCTTTTTCATCAAATAATATAAATTATCTACTATTTTTGAGATTTTATGTGGATTTTTGGGAATAATTCTCATTGTTTTCAAAAGATTGATAGGAAATACTTGAGATCTACAAGTACTTCCTATAAAATTGGTATCAAAGCACGTCAATCGAAGGGGAAACAATGGCCAAAAGCAAAGTGAAAGTTTTGGAGGGAGAACTTGGGCAATTCAAAGCAGATTTTGAGGATAAGGTGACTAATTTTCATAGTCAGATTGCATCCGTCAATGAAAAGATGGAGGAAAAATTCGCCATGGTGGAAGACATGTTGAAGAAATTGCTTGAAGCCAAAACCAAACCGGTGACATCGAAAACAAAGTAAACTACTGGCAGTCATGGAAGAGATGGGAACACTAACACGTCTAGGGGAAGGGAAAAGCCAGAAGTGAAGAACCTGGAGGGAGAAGATGGAATGCCTCCTCTAGAACCACTTTCTAGGGAGGAGATGAGCAATGGCTAAGCAAGAAGTGATGCTAAATTTGTAAGGAGAGAGGATGATTTCGATCGTCGGGGTGCTGATTTTGAAAGAAGAAAAGGGAACTTTGATGAATGATTTGGGTATGATCGTCGGAGGGAATATCGTGACAATTGGGGAGCACCTCTGCTTTGAGGAATGGGAGGTTATGGAGGATTTAGGGGAAACGGGTATGACCCGAGGGTGAGGAAACTGAAGATGCCAATCTTTGAGGGGAAGAATGCACACGGGTGGATCTACAAGATAGAAAGATATTTCGCCGTCATTGGGATGACATAAGAGGAGAGACTGATGGTGGTGGGTATGTTTAAAAGGGAAGGCTTTATCTTGTTATCAGTGTAGGGACATGCGAAGACGCATACAGAGTTGGAGAGAATTCAAGGATTGTTTGGTAGAAAGTTTCCGAACGGGTAAGGGAGGAGACTTCTACGTGCAGTTCTTCGCCTTGAAACAGGAGGGTTCAGTGACAAAGTACTGTGAGCTATTCGAGTACCTTGCTAGCAGATTGGACCGCCTTTCTGAGACAGTGCTAGAGGGAAACTTCATGAAGGGATTGACACCATAGATCGAGCAGCGGTTAGAGTAATGAGGCCTCATGATTTGGGAGAGGCTATGGAGCTAGCTCAATTGGTAGAAAATCAGAAGCACCTGGAGGGAGAGACGAGAGGCGGCAACTCAGGAGGCTTGTACAGGATGACCACCACCTTATTGAAATCCAATGAGCCAACACCGGATACACTTCGGGGGACTTCGAAGAAAAAGACTGCAAGAGGAAGACTTGGGGACAACTTCAAGAAGCTCACAGAGACAGAACTACAAGATAAGAGGGCGAAGGGGCTCAGATGTGACGAGAGGTATACGTCAAGGCACAGGTATAAGGACCGAACTCTTTAAGGTTTTGGGAGGGAAATTTGAATGTAGGGGTTGTTTAGGGATTTCTTTTTATTTATATGCATTAAATAGTTTGTTTTCCTAGGGTTATGGCATCTTGAATTTGGCTGAAATTTGAGATCTCTTAAATTTAGGTTTCCTTTGGGCTCTAGCGATGTCTAGAGATTTGGGAGAGATCGATTCTCCTCTCGAATTGAGGATCAATTATATCTTACTATTTTCCATTTCCCTTTCATCAAATAATACAAATTATATACTGTTTTTGAGATTTTGTGCAGATTTTTGTGAAGAATTTCGTTGTTTTCAGAAGATTGATAGGAAATACTTGTGATCTACAAGTACTTCCTATCAGTGGCCACAGCAGCTTTTAATAGGTTGAAGAAGGCCATGACCCCGTACCTGTCTTGGCCCTATCACATTTCACTCAGGTCTTTATAATGGAGACAGATGCTTCAGGGTATGGATTGGGAACAGTACTCATGCATACCCATCGTCCCATCGCCTACTTCAGCCAAGTGTTAACAGCTAGAGCCGGCTGAAGTCGGTCTATGAGAAGGAATTGATGGTCATTGTGCTAGCCATCCAGAAGTAGCGACCCTACTAGTTGGATCAACATCTCATCATCAAGACAGACCAGCGGAGTCTGAAGTACTTGTTGGAGTAGAGGATTGTGACAGAGGAGCACCAAAGATGGTTGTCAAAGTTATTGGGATATGACTTTGAAATCCAGTGCAGGCCAGGGATAGAGACAAGGCAGCAGATGCCTTGTCCAGATGTATGGGAGAGTTACAGACGATAGTAGTGTTGATACCACTGATTCTGGATTGGGGGGCCATTAAGGTGGAGAGTGCCTGGGATGAGGAGCACGGAAGGATTAGGGCGGACTTACTGAAGTTTGGGAGTAGCCACCCAGGTTTTTCTTTAGAAGGGGAGAGGCTTCTGTAACAAAGGAGATTTGTGATGCCTAGCACATCGGTCAATATTCTACACCTCTAGGAGTTCCATGGAAGTGTTGTTGGGGGTCATAGGGGTGCAGAAAACATATAGTGGACTTGCCTCAGAGTTGTACTGGAAGTGGATGCACAAAGATATGGAGAAGTTGATAGCCATATGTGAGATATGTCTTAGGAACAAGTACATGGCCATATCTCCAAGGGGATTACAATAGCCCTTAGCTCTACCAGGTCAAGTGTGGGAGGAGGTATACATGGATTTCATAGATGAATTACCTCGATCGGAAGGGTTCACAATGATTTTAGTGGTAGTAGACAGACTGAGCAAGTATGCTCATTTCATTCCTCTACGACACCCTACACGACAGTAACGGTGGCATCGGCTTTCATCGGGGAGGTGATCAGACTGCATGGGATACCAGAGTCTATAGTATCCGACAAGGATAAGGTGATCCTCAATCACTTTGGAGGGAGTTATTCAAACTACAAGGGACAGTACTGAAGAGGAGCGCTGCCTACCACCCTCAGACAAATGGGCAAATGGAGGAGGTTAATGGGAGCTTGGAGACATACCTATGATGCTTTGTGTCGGAGACACCTCAAATGTGAGCCAAGTGGTTAGCATGGCAGAGTACTAGTACAATACTTCATACCATTCGACTTCTTAGAGGACCCCATTCAAAGTGTTGTACGGACAGGATCCACCTCACCTGGTGCATTTTAGGCATGGGCATAGTAGCACCCCAGTTTCTTTAGTAGAGGAGTACTTGGAAGAGAGGGATAGAGTGTTGAAAGAATTGAAGAAACATCTGTTGAGTTCTTAGCATATTATGAATAAACATGCAGATGGCATAGGAATGGCATCCAGTTTGAGGTTGGGGAAAAAGTGTTCTTAAAGCTAAGGCCCTATAGGCAGAGGATAGTCACCTCCACGAGGAATGAGATGCTGGCACCAAGATATTTCATAATGTGGGTAACGTGGGTCGAAGCAGGTTGTGATGGTCGCAGATTAACAAGAGGTCACAATGAGGCTGGAGGTCGCAACTAAGGTTGCAGGTGGAGGTGCAGGACGCATGCATGCTATGAGGTTGAGCAAAAAGAAAAGCAAAGCTTTGCTATACAATATATTCCGAATTGAATTTACCTTACTCTCAACCAAACATTCAAAATCATGACAACCATGCTTTTAAACTGCAATACACTTAAAATATTCTCAACCAAGGAATCCCTAAACGAAGAACTAAATGAACAATAATCAAAGAGAAAAAGATGAGAATATTATCATTGATCCTTTCAAATTCAAGTAATAAGAAATCCATAGTAATAAAAAATATTAAAAAATTAAAAGAATTTAATATGAGAAACAAAGAGTGATCTAGTTGATGCCAGAACTTGAATGTCATCTGCTAATAGTGCAAGAGAACAAAAAAAATAAAATTGCAGTGAATGCTTACTTTGATTCAGCACTAAAGTTTGTAGACTTGTCACTTGTGGTTTGTGACCAGTAAAATTTTACATGTCAATCCATACTTTGGAAGAATATTTTCATAAATAAAACTGGAAAAGCATTGTAAGGGTGACTATGTTTTTGGAATTTCAAATGCATCATGTGAATTATTAAATTTCATTTATTGTAAATGAATTATACCTCCCGACCAACAAATGGAGAAGTATTGATAGAGAAAGACATTTTTACTGTCGGCTCCTCTACTTTGATGGTGGGTAGTGCTTTCCAAGAGCTTTTATCAGCTATTGTCTCTCCAATCTGGATAAACATGAGAATGATAATAAGCTATCATCTGCATGACACGTTTCCAAAGAAAAAGCTCATAGATATGCAGACTGAAAAAAATACAACTACAGGTTGGGTCCGGGTGGACTGCTTACCATTATATCATTTATTCCACAAACGGCACAAATATCTCCAGCCTCCACGTTCTCGGCTGGGACCCTGCTAAAGTTCTGATAAACAAAAAGTTCACTGACTTTTGCCTGTCTACATGTTTCATCTGATGTGCAAACCTACAATCACAGAATTTTCATGAAGTAAAATTAGTACAAGATGAACAATTGGAACTACATACCATAATATAACATGAAGTTTTGGCAGCTAAGCAAAATATTCCTGTAATATTCGAGTATATTTTGACAGAGAAAAAACGCCTAAATTTTACAATTTTTTTGCATCTATATACTGCTATGCAGTTTATACTTTTGGCTGTTACAATTTAGTTGCAAAGAAATAGCCAATAAGAAGATCCAAGTCTTTTTCTTTCTAATACAGCATATGCATAACATCCATGGTTTTAAGCAATAAAGCCAACAAACGCAAGAGTGAAAAATTGAACCACTTGTTGTGATTGAAAAAGGTGAAGCCAAAAAATTATCAAAAGGATTTTTATGCATTATTTTTTATTTATTAGTATTATTATTTGCTTACTGAGAGGATTTTTTAAATAATAATAAATATTTTTTATTTTTATTTTTTTTATTTTTTTTTTATTTTTATCTAAGGGAAAATGTGTGTATCTATGAGCTCCCGCACAAATTTCTCCCCCTCATACTCATTGTTTCATTGTAATCATTCAAGTGGTACAGGAGGAGATTTATTTTGATCATTGTAATGCATCAGTTCATTTGGACAGCCAGTTGGAGAGTAAGAACGAATTTAAGACTTTCAAGTTAATCTTCTGTGAGACTCTATTGTTTACCTCTGACGTCATTGTGTTCAACCGTCATTTTGTGAATCATATGTGAGTCAACACTCAACAAATGCTATCCTAAAAAATATGGTTCACACATAGATGTCAACCTCTATAAGGGCACTAATGTCAAATAAAAAAGCGCGATGAAAATGGCAATCGAACAACTCAAAATCACACGGAAGTTGTCTAAAACATGTCAGCCAAAACCCAAAATCGTTGAAATAATTACCGTTTGCAAAAAAAATAGCGTCGGCGCGTTCGGGATAGCTAAAACAACTAAGATCTCACCCAATTAGCCGGGGTTTTCGATCGACAAGAAAATTGAAATTTTGTGTGTGGAGCAAGGTTGAATCAACCCAATCAAACGATGAAAATCTAGCGAGAGAATCAATGTATGATTAATATAAATAAATATTGTCATTAATTTCAAAATTAATATTGAATGTATATTAAAAATTGTTTTAAATTAATTAAATTCCTAAGCCTAAAACTACCCACTCATCAAAAACTAACCCAACAACCCATTACTTGCAACCCACTCACGACAAAACCTGCCCATGCTCGACCCCTATGCTTGCTAAACCAAAATTGAACCATCTCTCACGGTTTCCCCATTTGATTCGTATAGTAGACTCACACTCGAGCCCTCTTCTGCTCAATCTCTCGCACAAATCTCATGAAAGTATGAAACTCCTCTTCTCATGTGCCCAAGCCTCACACAGTGCCCTCTCCGCACTCCTCTTTGTTTTGCACAAGACCTCACCAGGCCACCCTCCCATGATGATGCGGCAACCCTGCCACTTCCCTCTCTCGATCTTCTAATCTCATAACAAAATCGAAACCCAAGCTACCCGTCCATCACCCTTGTGCAGCACACCCCACTATCCGACCTCCCTCTGGCAGCCTCACAAAAGTCTGCACTCTGCACCCACCAGCCGACCATCCTAGACACCCCTCTCTACCCTTTCTTCTTCTTCTTCTTCTTCTTCTTCTTCTTCCTCCACATCCTCTCTCTATCACTAAACCCTTCAACCTCCCTGCTCTCCACCAAAAAAATCGCCTCCATCTCACCTCCTTACAAAAAAAAAGAAGCCAATGTTTATAATTACAAAAGAAGAACAAGTATATCTCTTTTTCTTTCTCTTACATCAACTAGGAATATTGATGACCCCGCATTCTATTGATGTTAGATCTGATCGAGAAGAACAAGATTATAATTGAAGAGAATAACGACTCTTTATTAATTTATTGAAAGCCATCTGTTAAAGTAAATGATTAATTAAAAGATATGATTGAATGATTGATGGATTGATGAAACTAATTAATGACAGATTGAATGATGAAAATATAATATTAAAGCTAGAAGCCTTGTCTTGCTATATTATAATAGCATCCATGATTGCATTTACATGATAGCATATAAATTGATTGATAGGTATAATTAATGTAGGACTACTAGAACTAGCATTGAGATTGATACCGCATGACATAGCATATGACAGGTATACTTATAAACATTGATAGACATATTGGTATAGCATATCAATATGGTATACTAACAGACAAATACACAAAACATATCATTTGATAGTAATATCTGATAGAATCATTAACATGATATATTTGATAGATAATTGATGCTCATTTTACTGTACAGTATCTAGTATTGATTAAAAACTTTTACTGGTTTTTTTATAGGTCGATAGATTCCTATACTTAGTAAGATGCTTTCGTTTTATTGATCATATTGATCCTTATATTGATTGCATAGATTGTTTACTATTTATACTCATGATTAATAAATTTTATACTGATTGAGATAAGCATGCATATTGATTCTTGAGACCTTGCGTTGAAAGCATTGGTAGTTTGGGTTCCTGCTAGGCTTTGTAAACTCATTCGGGTCCAGAAAGGGGACCAGTAGAGTGAGATTGATCAGAGTCAGAATTGTAGGTTTAGTTTATTATTACATTGTGTTTCATTGTTTAGTAACCAGCAGGGTAGTAATAGATGGATGTTATAGATCAAACTTATGGTTATTGTATATTTAATTTTAATATGTAATTATATAAATATATGGCTTGAAATACATACATATATTTATATTGAAAATTTTCTTGTCGACCCGACTCCAATTGAGCCGAGTTAAGCCCAATTGGACTCAATCGCGCTCGATCGAATAACTTCAAACCTAAATTGACCCATATTGGGCCTAAATGAAGTCCAAACAAACTCAATTTAATCCAATTAAAGTCAAATTGATCAACATCGACTCAAATCGATCAAGATCGTCAATCGAGCTCCATCGAACCAAATTCGACCCAATTCGGCACCGATTTGAATCCAATTTTATAAAATTGACTCGATCGGACCTAATCGGACTTGAATTGAACCAAATTGATCCAAATAGACTCCGATTCAGGCTCAATTTCAACCTAATTTATCCAATCTCAGCTCATTTGACTTTCCTAAATTAGGAAATCAAATCCAATGGTTGAAATACAAAGAGCAGTTGGCTACAAGTCTTTTCCCCCTTTTGCTGTTGATTTTTGCCGTTGTAGCAAGAATTGACAATGCAGGATATCATATCTTATGGCAAGAGATCTTATCGAATAGCAGGCTTCATTTTGAGCACATTGAAAAGTCGAGAGGGCAGGGAGGCTTCCATTCCATTAGCACTTTTCTTCTGCTTGATTGAATGCCATACCAATCGAGGGAGGGAAGGAGAGTTGATGCCTGCTTGTTGTGTCCAATTCAAAGGAGACGAAGGAGCTGTCATCGATAGGGGTGTAAACGAGTCGAGTAGTGGCCTTATCGAGCTCAACTCATTAGTCAGGAAGTCGGCTCAAGCTCGAGCTCGAGTTGAGCTTAAAAGACGAGCTTAAACTTGAGCTTGTCCCACTATAAATGAGCTCGAGTCGGCTCGCGAGCCTCGGAGTGATTTTTTAAATATTATAGATTATTTTAAATATTTAAATATTTTAAACATTTATTATTAATTTTAAACATTAAATATTAATTTATTTTTTATTTTAATAAATATTTTAAATAATTATTATTATTTTAAATATTTAAATTTAATAAATAAAATAAAATTATTTTTAAATATTAATAATTATTCGAGTCGGCTCATGAGCTCATGAACCGAGTCTCATCAAGCTCGAACTCGAGCTCATTTATAAAACGAGCTCGAGCTCGACTCATGAACTCGATAAGCTCGACTCGTGAGCCCATAAACGTGTCGAGCTCGAGCAGGCTCGGCTCACTTACACCCCTAACCGCCAATCCCTCAAACTTTCGTGCATCCGAGCTAGCAGAGAAGAGGATATCTCATGCGCGTGTAGAGCCGAACAAGCAAAGCAATTCGCTCCTGCTTGCATATGTACATCCGACTTAAAGGAGATCGACGAGGTATTCCTGAGGGTCGGGACATGCAGGAGTCGTGCGGCTGGAAACAAGAGACCCTTCTCATGCATCTGGGAGAATTCGAGTGGAGCTTGGTGCAATTGGGGCTAAACTGATAGTTGTACTCCTCTTCTCCCTTAAAGAGGGAAACTTCCTCTTGTTGTTGTTCTATGTTTCCTCTTCCAAAATCCAGAGCAAAGGGGTGTGGTGGTTAGTCCCTATTACAGTTAAGAGAAGGTAGAGAGCTTCCCTTCCCTCTCAAACCAACTCCGGCGAGCTCATGATAGAAAAATCAGCATCTGGGAGTGATACAAAAGTGCGAGGGATTTCTAGAGAGGCTTGGACAACGAATCATCATCCCATTCTTCCTCAATCTCACCTTTGCAAGGTAGGAGCATTCTGGTTGTGTCGTGACTTGACCCAGCAAGATTAAATTCCTCAAAACATAGAAAATCTCTAGGTCTTTAAGCCGTTGATATGTGGTTGGCGCTCCCGAGTCCCTTAGGACCTTAGAAACATTTGCAATTAATTTGCAAACCCCAAACAAAACCTCATGCTTGCTCCCGCTTAGCAAATTCATGAAAATTTGGCAATTTTCATCGAATCACTCTCATGTGAGAGCTAAAAGGCATGTTGGTGCGTGTAGGGCATTTGGATTGATATCCTACACCTCCAAATGCATGAAATAGTATTATATTGCATTCCAACACTATCACCTACAATCAAATCCTAGGTTAGGAGATATTATTTGATGTTGAATCGAATATTGAGGTGCAGATTATCTCTAAATATTGCAAGTTATATTTCTTTTCCTAAAATAACGTGTCATGACAAAATTGGCACGAAATATGGAAAACTTGCATGGGTAAAGAACTTGTTAATATTTCTAAAAGCTATGGTGGATATTCAAAA